TATATATGCCTAACGATAGGCAGTAGCGATGATAGGTTAGGTAATAGAACATAGTTTTTGCAATTGCTACTGCTAGTAACTTTTAGTCTATTGTTATAAGCTATTCCGTAGCGGTGACCGGAATTGGCCCAGAAAAGTCTGCCCTAGAGCTTCGCTCGCTTCGCGAGCTCAGCAATAAGGACGTATATTACCATATACAGAACACACAGCAAACTATTCTGCATGAATTTCAAGCGCGCTGCTTGAAACATTTCAAGCAAGCCGGTTTCGCACCACTTGCTGGAAAGTTTCCAGCAGGTTGCTTGAAGTTTCAAGCAACTTTGCTTGAAGTGAGCGCGTGGGCCACTTTCAAGCAAAACGTGCAACTGCACCCTAGACGTAATAGTAGGTGCTATCGAGATGGGGGTTTTTGCGTTCGCTTTCTTGGTTTGACAGTAGAGGACTACAATTACCCGCTTTGACATAAGATGGGTACATCAGTTAAAAATAAACGAAAAAGGGTACTACTCGTTCAAAAGTAACAGAATGGTGCCGAATTTCGGAAAACACCTCTATATAAAAGTTGTCGGGCAGGTCAAAATACCTTGAAGCCACCCTGACCGATCAAAGTCCGTCGGACCCTTCTCGAGTTATATTGGAAAAACTACTTTCCGCAGATACCCGTCCGAATTTCTCATACAAGGTGGCGGAATAGGTAGGTGGTGTAAGCGGTGCAAATACGCGCGCTGCCAAGACCTATCGTCCGCCGCAAACCGCGTGTCGATATCTAGTACCGTTTACGAGAAAACTAGTTTTTTCCGAACGGAGTGGTACTCGTTTTGAACAAGTGCCCCTCCGTTAGGCCCTGGTGCTCGGATCGGCGCCGGCACAAGTTCGTTTATTGCGTATTGATGGGGCGGTCACTTTTGCATCTGAGGTGTTTTGCACTAAACCCAGCGGTTTGGCGGTTATTGTAAGATTAATCCTTTACGTCGTCGGCGGGTGAAGCCGCCGGCGCCGCTCACAGAAAGGCCAGAGAGACATGTCGTCAGAGGAGCGGCCGTGGCTCAGTGGATAGCGCTGCGGGTCCGAGGATCGTTCGCACGGCAGGCGCGGGCACGACTCCCGGTCACTATCAATATTTTTTTTTTCGATCATACTTTGGAGCGGGCATTTGCGATGTTTGCAGATTACACAGTGCGGGCCTGAGGGCGTTATTCGTGAAAGTGAAATTAGCAGGATTTACAAGAAGAGCTCAAAGTTTTGCACCGCTATATATTGTCATAATCTTCATACCCGCATCGATTTGATGATTAAAATATCCGAGAGTAAATACCATTCAAACACTTGCACTCTACGAAGGCGACAAAATGCCGAGAACAGCACAGCCTTAACCAGCTAGAAAGTAAGAAAATGTAGCGCACTCGCCGGGATGCGAACGCACGACTCTCGGCGCACTGCTGTGAGCCTCAACGCACTCGTCTGTTGAGCCCCGACATAGTCGCTACTGCTACTCCCTCGTGCTACTGTTCGAGCGGCAATTAAAGCCCCCAAAAAATCACGCTGCCACCGAGAACCGAACACACGGCCCCCGGCACTAAACTCAGCGCCTCAACGCACTCGGCTGTTGAGCCCCGACATAGTCGCTACGCTACTCCTTCGTGCTACTCTTCGAGCAGCAATTAAAGACAAAAAAAAATCACGCTGCCACCGAGAACCGAACACACGGCTCCCGGGGCTCAATTCTGAGCCTCAAAGCACTTGGCTGTTGAGCCCAGGCAAAGTCACCCCTGCTACTCCGTCGTGCGGCCGTGGCTCAGTGGATAGCGCTGCGGGTCCGGGGACTGATCGCGCGGCAGGCGTGGGAACGACTTCCGGTCACCATAAATAAAATTTTTTTTCGGTCATACTTTGGAGCGGGCATTTGCAATGTCTGCGGATTTCACAGTGCGGGCCTGAGGGCGTTATTCGGTGAAAGTGAAATTAGCAGGATTTACAAGAAGAGCTCAAAGTTTTGCACCATTATGTATTGTCATAATCTTCATACCCGCATCGATTGCGAAAGCGCTGTACTGCTACATTTCTTATCCGTTCTGCAGTTCCGCTCCCAGCCGAGCCGAGCAGCTCCCGAACCCGTGTGAAATTTCATGCGTTTCGCGTGAGCTGCTGGCTTGTGCTTCGAGTCCCGGCCGCGGCCCTGGCATACTTTTTATTTTATTTTTTGATCATCTCCGTTTGAGATAGGATAGCACCAGGTCGGTGCAGTGGACTCAGACATAGCCCACTCGGCCGAGCGCACTAAGGCGTGAGAAACTGAGCCTGCGATCTCAGGTTCGACTCGCACCGACTGCCGATACTTTTATCCCACCATTTACCACTCTGACTTGGTAGTCACGGGTTCAACACCTACCAGCGAATATAGGAGAATTTCATTTATCATTTCCTGTTGTATTTCGCCCAGTCTGAGAAAGGCTAAAATCGGGGTCTGTACATACGCACCACAAGAGGTACCATTAGCCGAGCTCATCAAGTGGAATGCTATGCAGGCGAGTGGCGGCCTCTTGTCCTGGGTTCGATACCCATAAATGTCCGCCATTTTATCCATCTCTTTGTAGCGCGTACGTATAAGGGACACGGAGGCGGTGGTAGGAACCCCACCGACTACCTCGATTTCTTATATTGTCTTATAATCGTTTCGGTTTCATTCTCTAATAGCACCGGAGCCATTACTCACAGTTCGTAGTCGGTCCCTGTGGGTGGGTGGTCTAAGGTGCGTAAATGATGCACAAGAGCCCTTCTGCCGCCCTTCTGCTTTTAAAAAAGCATTAAAGCGGGCTTATGCAACCGCTCTAG